TTCAATTAAAGGGGTATATTTTAATTATGTTTGATTTTCTTCTCTTCCATCCAAACTTCATTTCGCCGTCTTGAGCGCCGTCGAGGTGAATCGTACTCGGCTGTATAGTAGTAATTTTTTTCCATATCATTTCTCTCATCCAGTTTTAGGGCTAGCTTGTTAGCGTGACGAATCCAGTCTTCGTAAGATGCGAAACCATCGAAAATACTAAAAATCAAAGGAATTCACATGCATTAAGTTGAGAAAAGCCACGTCATGAGTTAATAGAATGTACGAAAATACTAACCCTAATTTGTAGACGTAATATATATATATCAAATTAAAAGTCAAACATAGAAAACCCCTTTCTTCATGCTACATATAGTATTACCTCCACGAACTAATGAAACTATCAAATACTTTTTATTATTATTTAAGGACTTCAATTACGTTGTTAAAAAGATTCAAACGATTTTCCCCCTAACTAACAACGATTTCTAAGCCTGATTTTAAATCGTAGTGACACATTTCAGATGTTCAGCAAAATTATATTTTTTCATAAAACATTACTATTACGCTTACTATATGTTTAACACTTACAACTGTTGTTCATTCCCTCAGAAGATGAGAATATAATAGTATATCAAACATACTGTGCCCTCCATATCCATTGCCAATGACGCGTTTTGTTCATTACAGAGTTTATCATGCCAGCTGGGTATGGCGAACAAGGTGTGGTTGAAATACTATTATATAGTATAATATGTTATACTATTATATACAGCATTATATACTGTTAAAAATATAAAAAGCCTAATACTAATATCTTATGATAATACAATTAATTATAATAACGCTTCACCAGCTTAGAAATGGCGTTCATACCATAACAATAACCTTTAAAAGTTATATATATTTTATAATAAGTTCTAGTGGATGACTTGTACGCATGAGTGTAAATATTGTTAAAGAAACAGACAAGAAAACTGTATCCAGGCAACAAACTTTTGTGTCTTCGGCAGGTTATGAGTTGATTAACATCCAAAATAGGTCAGATGAGAACTAGCGTAAATAAACCCTTTAAGGTGTATGGAATGTGCTTTTAAATAGCCAAGCTAAACTGAATAACGACATATGTATTTACGTTTACTATGTACATGTATCTAAAACTCCACGTTTAGTTTGTTTTTTTATGGTATTTCCCGGACTTTACAGTACACAAGTTCGAAGACTCCACTTGTTTAGTTGAAGGTAATTTCCTACACTTTGCGACAAGAATCAGACATGAAATAGTTTCAGCTATTTAGACTGGTAAGTTGTTAATTTTTTTTAGTACTAACATATGCCAATATCGTTGAATCGGTTTGCAAAAAAAAACAACCAGTGTAAAATAAGGCTCAACGAAACCTTTCTATAGACTAAGGTGTACCAAAAGCAATACATATATGCATTATACAAAATAAATAGTTATTAAGATTCTAAGCTTTCTACATTGTTTTAAGATAAGTATTTACGTACATAGGGGACTCTTTTTCGAATGCATTAGGGACCAAAAACATGCTAAACAAGTGTGATTAGCCACAGCTTGAAACAAACAATCACTACGGTTTTCGTAAAGTGTGTCAGCCCAAGAAAAATAAATACCCCGCTTTTCGTAAGTGTGTCAATCCATGAATTACATGTTTAAATGTGTGATGTCACTCAACTCGTATTATTTTATGGTGAAACATTACGTAATAAAGTGCGATGCACGAAGCATAGCAAAATAAATTACTTCCACTGTTGTTGTTGTTTTCTTCACGGTGCTTCCATCAACAATAAGTTGCCATATAAAGCTATTTTATCATTATACGTAACACCCTACAGGTTCCATAAAATACAGATTAAATAAGATATATCATTTGTTTCCCTAATTTATATATTGGTTCTACGAGAACTGCTGAAGATCACATCACCCGTGTTTACGGATAGAGCTTGGTTTATCCTAGAACAGTCTCACCTGCGTTTACGTAGCTAGTAGCTCAGCGTTTCTTAATTTTTATACTCTTACCTGACAAAGTAACGAGTTTTTGGTTCAACCAGAACATTGACACTCGGATCTAACGGTTTTGGTGGGTCTTTTTGTAGTGCTCTGGGTAAGAAGAAGGACATACTATAGGTCGAGGCACACGTTGCACAAGTCCCCTGGTCAATACGAGTACGTACTGGCGTGGTCATGTTGAAGCTTAAACCTAGAAGTTAATGGTTTGTCTTATTTACAATGAAATAAGATCAATACAGCTAAAATCACAGAAATTCTTCTGAGCTTCTTAAGTTGCTTTTTGATGTAGAAAACTTCTAGAAACACAGACAGACCAATAGAAATTGAATTAAGAACTACATGTGTCTAATAAAAGACATTTCTAATAAACGACTTTATGCTGCCATTAAAGCTTCTATTTAGGCATTCGTTCGTTTTAAACAACCGCGTTAATGTTTTTCTTTCTTGAGCAGAGCACAATGAATCTCATGTATAGAACAAATTACGTAACAACCTGAATGGAAATATTTAATATATCAAACACCTGGCATCAAAAGAAGAGCTTCCAGCCTTTAGAGGTCGCTTTGATAGCTTACTGAATTTCACAGATCTCCCAAAGTTTTACGCGGTTATGTTATTAGTTAATTCTATAAAGGTTTCTCCGAATCCTAAAGTTGATCCTTGTGTAACTTTGATGTCTTTCTTTAGTTAATTAAAAACAATACTGTGTGTATTAGAAGCTTCAGAATGTATAAAAACGCCAGCATTTTATAAGACACGATGTTCCGCTTTAATTTCTGTTTTAAAAAAAAAGAACAACAAAAAACCCTAGTTTGGCGTTTCATCTCTTCAAATTTCATTTTGACTTGCACATAAGATCATGTGAGCTTGATTAACTCGTTAGTTGATTCACCTGCTCTATACATGAAAGTTAAATCGACAAATTAAAGGGAATGTGGTAAAAAACAAAACATCTACAGTTAACTTGTTTGTATGACAGTTTTAGGCCTATTGGTGTTTTCCAACATTCGGTGTTTAAACCATAACTTTTAATGTATTATACTGCATATATAAATAGCGTTTTATAGAACCTAACTGATGCATTCTGGTACTGAAAGAAAAACGTATTGGGAAGTGACTTGTGGGACACAAAAGATAGATCTGAAATATTATTTTTATACATACCTGATTTCCAGCCGCAACGTATTAAATATGTGATAAATGGAGCAGTTTGGCGAGAGGAAAAAAAATTAAATAAAAATCAAACATTTATATGGTATACTGAATGCGATTAAAATCAAATGTCATTGCAATCTTTTGTTATATATATAAAAATGTAAGTCTCTACGTAACCCACAGTATAACTTTACACAGAACTATATATATAATGAGATATGCAAGATAACCTTTCAGAGAATTCTACACTTCTCATTAAAGAATGGTTATACGTAAGACTACGAATACGGTAAAATTTATTTCCGTATAGAGAATCCAAACATGAAATAAATACTAATTCTTATCACTGTGACGTCATTTCCTGTTTTGAAGAACGATGATAGTGCCTGAAGTTTTTCTTGTTATTGTAATAACTCATCGGTTAATATACTTGTTTACACATTTGATGATTACGAATCTCTTGATGTTGCAATACTTGTAGTTTAAAAAAATACTAAAAAGGTTTTCGTTTTTTAAAGTAAAAAAAATATTTATTATTAAAAAAGGAACTTGGAACTTGGTTCGAATCTCACCTTGATCATTGTTTCCTTTCAGGTAGGATCTGAGTTTCGTATAAAGCTCAGAGCCCAGTTCTCTGTAGTTTGTTGCTTGTACTGACGTCATTATCCACGTGGTTGGTGGATATTCTCTCTCCTCGTAACCCTTGTAAAACGAGTAACAACATTTATACTACTTTATGGACACGTTGTTGTACAGGCAAACCGCATGTTAAATTGTTGTTGTTGAAGCATCAAACTAAAATGCATTATGACAGCTAGAAAAATTTGAAAAAAACAAACAAACAATTATAGACCCGTACACAGAATGTTTGAGTGGGGGGTGGGGTCTGATTTGTGAGATCAAAAGCTAACATACATTGTGCAAAGCATACTAATTCTACGGGGTCTGGAGGCATATCCCCCCAGAATTTTTTTTTAAAAAAATAGGTGCTATGAGGTTATATCTGGAAGCAATTTTGCATGAAATATAGCTTAAACAACTGCATGGCTGTTCACATAAAATCCACAACAAACACCCAATGAAAAGTCATCAAATCATCATGTTGTAACACTGCACGGGGAGCTAGAATAAAATTAACATAAATATGTATGTTTTATTATAGTAAAGTATTGTACTATCTACATGTAGAGTAGTTATTAATTGTTGAATTATATTACTAATTTAAACAACTCTGTACAACAATAGTATATTAGCTATTTCAGTCATTGGCTATCATATGCTCCATTCTTCTGGGGTGTTTTTCCATAAATAACTTACATACATTGTCACTGTTGATAGCAGTGTCATAATGTATTAAAGCTAGAGCACTTAGTCAGTCTTTCTTCAGTTTGTGTACACCTCAGGTGCCTAGTGGAAGTGTAGCAAAGAGTTTCAGTAACATAAAGATATTTGGTACACTGAAGCACGCTTTTAAGCAGCCAGTCAGTATCTGGAGCCTGTCCTGGAGAGATATAGAAAGTCATCTTGTCTTGCATTATCAGAAGGGTGTAGACTATGTGCTAGCTGATGTGTTATAACTATATAAGCATAAATAGGGGGTTCGGGCGAATGTGTACATGCGTAATTTCATATTTTCATCCTGAACGGCATCCTATGCGGCTCACGAATCAAATGCTCAGATAAAATGACCACAAGATTCAGAAAGAGCCATCCATAATCGAAAATTACTAGCCAAACGGAGGACAGTCAGTCAGTAATGCTCGCCTACAAGGCTAATCTCAAGCGAAGAGCGGGATAGGCTGTTAAGTTTATAACGCCTCTACAGCCAAAAGCGCTGGATGCGTTCGGTAAAATATCGTGGCTCGAACCTTAGACTGCATCGCGGCAAACTAACTATTAAACCACCCCTAACATAGAACTGCTCAGAACAACCAAATTTTTTTCATTAGACGACATTTGAACTCAGTTTTTCAGACTCACGCATATACCAAACGTAAGAAGCAACGCTTGTTTTATTAATAAAATTAAAACATGACAAAGAACTCCAAAACTATTTTACTTACACCTGAAAGTTCACTGGGTCTTTAACAAACCTGTCATGATGAATTTTCGGGCATAACGATACTTTTCTTACACCCGAAAGTTTACCGAGTCTTTAACAAACCTGTCATGATGAATTTTCGGGCATAATAATATTTTACTTACACCCGAAAGTTTACCGAGTCTTTAACAAACCTGTCATGATGAATTTTCGTTCATAATGATATTTTACTTACACCCGAAAGTTTACCGGGTCTTTAACAAACCTGTCATGATGAATTTTCGGGAATAACGATACTTTTCTTACACTCGAAAGTTTACCGAGTCTTTAACAAACCTGTCATGATGAATTTTCGTTCATAATGATATTTTACTTACACTCGAAAGTTTACCGAGTCTTTAACAAACCTGTCATGATGAATTTTCGGGCATAACGATATTTTACTTACACCCGAAAGTTTACCGAGTCTTTAACAAACCTGTCATGATGAATTTTCGGGCATAACGATATTTTACTTACACCCGAAAGTTTACCGAGTCTTTAACAAACCTGTCATGATGAATTTTCGGGCATAATGATATTTTACTTACACCCGAAAGTTTACCGAGTCTTTAACAAACCCGTCATGATGAATTTTCGGGCATAATGATATTTTACTTACAC